CGACCAAGGAGGCCTAACATTGTCAAACAATGGGAATTAATAATACAAGTTGTACACGTTTAATGAAACTTCATATAATTAAATGGACTATTTAATTATAAATATAAAATTTAACATAAGGTGACACTTGACAGATGTAAAACTAAAATAAAGTATGACCCTTGCCATTAACAAAATAATGTAAAATATGATTTAATATGTGTAAATTAATACAAACGTTAGTTCAAAATGATAGAGATGCCTTCAATCCAACGTGGAACCGAATCACGTGCTTAGTGTCGTCAAGCATCAATATATCTCTGCACTTTCATGTGAGATTCAGCAAAAGAGCTTCGCACGTACATAGCGACTTTAGGCATTCAGCATTCAATTTAGCGTTCAATTCAGGCATTCCATTAGGCGTCCTGCTAGTGAACCTCGGCTGCCCAGGACGATCAGTTCCGTCTAGCACTAGAAGGCATCACTCAACTCGGAACTCTCTTTGGATGTCTATTCTAACGAGAGGAAACCATTTACATGCAGTATAATCGTGCGTCATACATACCATCAATCTCCGCATCCACTGGTTTCGTTGCGCAAACGAACCCGCGAACTTGGGAACAACGGTCTGATTCGCTACCGCTTGCGCTAGCACGTGTTTCCAACCTCTCCGCCCTGAGACGCCTCCGCAGCGGAGGTGCAAATCTCAAGTGGTGCGAAAACGAGGCGATTAGGTATCCAATATGCGTAATTACTCCTAAATCCGCGCGCAGCGTCGCGGCGTCCCACCCCGTACCACTCGTTCCCCCCCCCCGGCCACCATACTGCGCATGCGCGAGCTCTCGCCCTCGTAATTCCCCCGTAAGCCCGCGCCCTCGGAGGGCACGCAAGTCGCGGACAAGTCTCGCTGCGGCGCGCTACTTGGGGGCGAACTTGGCCTGGGGATTAGAGTTCACGGAATCGAAGCACCGCCATGCAACGCCGCCCCGCGCCCTATGAAGAGGTGAGCGGGAAGCTCGTTGTAGGAATACAGGCGCGGCGTTGCCGCGTGTTGCAAATGCGGAGGTTACTGAACTGAAGAGCGTGGTGAGATAATGAATGCTCCATACAAGCGCTCAAGAGAACTGCGAGTGGTTCCACGTATTTTTAGTCTGACCGTGCGCGAAAATTTCAAAATGTGGAGTAGAGTTTAACTTTTAGGAAGTTAGTATACCTATTTAACATTTTTTTACTTCTTAAACGCCTTAATCATCACTGTCACGTTGAACTCAATTGAAATTGAGGGATAAGTAATTGTCTTAAACATTCTACCACCATAACTGGTGAAGAAGAAAATCAGAATCAAATTAGTAGTTTTGTAGCAAGTTTTTTGAAGAACGGTGTTTATTTCAATTCAATTCAAGTTTAACCATTGCTTTGGTTGTCGAACATCTTTCCAATCCCCTCTTTCTGTAAATGTACCCCTCTTTTGGCGAAGCTAGGACACTGTCCTTACTGCAGTCCACCACGCACTTGTCTCATTTATATTCCTTCCATCAATGTATCCCGTGAGCTTCTAGTTATCTAGTGGTCTATGCGTTTAGCAACATTTGCGGATCCATCATTGCTAGCTAGGAATTCACAGGCAGGTATCAGACCGCACCCTTAAGGCAGCACTCCAAGGTGTGTTGGCTGGTAAGCCCCTGGCAGGCAACCTATCTCAGTAATGCCGTAGAAGAGGAAAGATCTTAGGGGAATGGCACCTTTAGAGAGCGGCGAAAATTTGCCTCTGTCGCTTATGCCAACGCCAACTGGAGGGGACAAGAACAAAGAGGTATTCTGTAAAAGGTGATGGGACAGCAAAACATGTCACAAAAGACTATTGGCAACAACTATCATGCCTAAGCAGGTTGCGCCCCACACGATCTCGCTAGTGCACTCGCACCTGAGCGACATTGGCTGTATGGACGGGTCCCATTAAGATACCTTATGAATGCTGGGCAAGGCTGAAAATCAATTTCGTCCGAACTACATGTCCGTAGGAAAAATACAGAAATCAAATTGAAACTTAGAATGGCAACCGTTATAAAACTTCATATAGTATTAGTTACTAACAGTTTAGTAATATGTAAGAAAACACTGCTTTGGGGCCACTCAAGGTACCCAACTTGGAAGAAACGTGTTAGTAATAATGATAAAATAATATTCATAAATGTACTAATCACTACTGGTAAGATACGGTGAGAATATTTAAAGAATATCGTCTATCATAATACATATAAAGAATTCAAAAACACTCAAAAAGAGCTGGCTAGGTCCCAATGTCAGATATACTGTTATTCGGTTTTAAGGGATTATTGTTTTAAGTCTAATCTACAATTTGAATAATAATTAAAAGCCAGCAATGAGAAAGCTTTAATTTTTTCTAAATATACACAAATTTTGAAGATAAACAATAACATTTAGAAGATATTTGGAATTGTAGTACAATATAGTGGTATTGTTCTAACTAACCGAAGATAACATTGCAAAATGTATAAAAATACACTTCTACTAGACATCTCAAAAATGAAAAAAATGCATAGAAAGCTCACAATATATGTATTTTCTGTGTACTGAATTTTTAATTATTTTGTATATTATTACTATTGTTACTCACCTCAAATATTATATTTTAATACATGATTTAAGAACATTCACTACAATAAAAATAGTATTTGCTAATGTTACATTTTATTATTAAAAATGCATAGCAATAAAGTAAAATTCACAATGCTGGTTTTAAATGTAGAAATAAAATGAAACATTAAAACCTTCTTCAAAACAATTCTCCTAGAACAATAATTTACTCAATTGAAGTTGACGGAGAAGAAATTGTCTTAAACATTATACCACCGTAACTGGTGAAGAATAAGACAAGAATCAAATAAGTAGTTATGTAGCAAGTGTTTTTGAAGACAGGTGTTTATTTCAATTCAATTCAATTCAATTCAATTCAACTGAAGTTTAATTCAAGGCAAAGGCAGATTTTCAGATCAAACAAAAGTTAGAGAAAGGTAATTGCTTTTGGTTGTTTATAATCAGCATAATAATTATTACAGTAAAATTCACTATTTAAAATAAAAATATATGAATATCACTAAGAGTATAATTGAGGCCGCATATGACATATGACCTTAGACTAAATAGAATTTTAAAAAAATATTCTAAAGAGAATTGTATACATACAAGCTTGAAGTAGACAATTATATTACTCTAATTTGGAAACAATGTATGCAAAAATATTACACAAGCAACCAAATAAAACCCTTTATCAGACAATTGCTTGTAGCTGTTCATCAAATCAGAAGATCAAAACAGACATCATAAAAATCCATGTAACCATGAAAAATATTCCAGAAAACATTATAAAATAGTTGATACTCTTCAAAGAGATCTTTCTAAAACACTTTCATTGCATCTCAACCAGCTGGCAAGAAAGAAGGCAAGGGGCAAACAGAATTCAAAAAATGTTCTAAGATATTCTGTATGCTTCTGTTTCTGTTTGTGCCACATACTATTACACAACTACTACAATTTAGTGGTGCAGGTATCCAAACACCAAATATTTGCAAAGACCACAATTAGTCCTTGTAATGATGAAAATGTATAAATAGTGAAGTAGATGCAATATAATTGAATTTCACCAACCTTGCCTTTGTGGATTTCAGTGACAGTTTAATTTGCAAAGAAAGAACCATAGAGATAAGCATATATCGGAGGATACCCCTACAACACAATTTAGTGTTCCAAATGAAAATAATATGTGCAATAATTGAAAAAAAAAACTATCTCAAATTTCTTTTGAATACTAATTTTATCAATAATTTGGACAATGGTTTATTATATTAGACCTACTCACACCTTCCCCATTTCAAAAATTCCCCATTACGTATAAACTAAGGTAAATTTGTAGAGGAAGTGGTATTTTCTCTACGTACTAAACTAAAAGAATTTTGAACGTTCTGAAAGAAGTCAAATACAAAAGCTTAATCCACATAGTCTAGCAGCTGAAAATGTGGTGTTTATTGTATCATATATTTCAGATCATATATTCCTACTAATTGATATAGTCATATTTGATTGTATCTTTTAGAAATACTTCTACAATATCGGTAACTTGTAATACACTTTATTACGTCGACAATTATAAATGTAATTATAATCATCATTCACGTGCACATTTTGAACTTTGATATTGTGATAAATAATGGATCACTAGATTAAACAATAATAACTTACTGGAAAGAAAAATTCATCTGGAACAAACTTTGTCACTTATACTTCTTTGATATTCTTTAGGATGATGTCCTCCTTGATCGTTGTGTTTTTCTTAATCAAACCCCAGACATACAAGAAACTCTCTTCGAAATAATCAAAATATTGTGAATGATAACACCATTCATTATGCACATAGTAAATAAACAACTTCAAAAATTCCAATCGGCGTTGTAGTTTTGGAGAAAGCAATCCGAGCCACTATAGCAGATTTGAACAGAAGTTTATAAAACCTACAAGATGCCAACCCCCAAACAACAAAATAAAACATGCAAGGAAAGTTTAGCGATAACACATTGAGAGGTAGAATGGTTACTTATATAAATTCAATGATACTAGAATAATAAGTAATAATTCCTACGGTAAAGTAGCGAGTCTGAATTACATGATAAGTTGGCATTGGACTGAAATTCTGTATTCGAATGGCACTGGAGGCATACATACAACTTTTGTACAATTTATCCCAGGCCTGAGCAACACGTCGATAGCGGCACATTTTGTGTCGATCTCTTTTATAATTCATAAATTGATACGCAATTTCCATTTCACCATGTTACAAAATTCATATTGTTATAAATGCAAAGTGTTTAAAGCCATAGGGATTATCAGCAATTGCCAACTGTGTTAATCTGCAACGGCTTTCTAGCTCTAAACAAGGCCGTGATTCACAGCATTTAATTGCACAGGGTCGATCACCTTAGCTTCTACTTATAAAAGTAACTCACCTGAGTTAAAGTTAGTCAGGCCTGCACCCATGGTTCACTATTTTTCAGCATTCGAATGCGGTGACTTCTTACTAGAATTAACGGCGGGAGAAACTCTTCTCACAGACCCACGTGGGCACAAATGGCATCATCTCAAGCGCTTTCGAGTATGAACTTCCCGCTACGTCAAATCCGCCACTGCAGCGCTAGCGCAACACACTATCATTGCAGCCAATAAGCACTCAGAACCTCATACCGCGCCAAAGAGAAGTCATTTACAAAGTGATCATTACATTAAAGTACACATTTGGATCATTTTAAATTCACAATCGTCAAAGCGTTTTCGTATATCAAACAATAACCAATTTGACACTTACATTCGCAATATCGTTCAGAATTTTTTGGGTATTATTTAAGAACCTCATACTCGTGTGTCTGGGTTCATGAAAGAGAGAAATTGCGAGAAAATATTCAAAATAGAAAAGTAAAGAACTGACTTCTGAATTTACGAAATGCACTCAAAGTTTAAAAAAAAAGATTCGAAAAGAAAATCCTTTTTTGCATTCGGCAAAGCGATTACATGGTAAGTTTTGCTTACATAAAGTCATTTCTGAATTAAAGACGTTATATTCGAAGGCGAATGACCTTCAGCTCTGGATGTTTAATTTAGATACTTGTTTTATTTTAAAAAGGTTTAGACTCTAATTATGGAATAACCATTCAAAAATATTGCCTCTGGAGCCATAGTCTAAGTAGAAATAATTTCAATCCTGTTTGGTTTTGTGAAAGTTAAAGCTTGTTGACAATAAAATGTAAACGCAAACGTAACATAAACCCAAATACTTGGTGGCACGTTCTATATTGATAGTTTGATGTTTCCGGGCACATCAACTGCTATGGTGACTTGTCCCCTGGGTAGTGTTTTAACCCTATAAATATTTAAGCACAATATCTAAAGAAAAAGATCCCGTTTGTGAGCCTTCAACGCCGGCTATAGATTTAGAAGGTCACAACGTGAAGCATTTGCATACCAGAGAGTAATTTGAATGACTCCCAACAGCAGAAAAACAAAATCAACAACAATAAAACAAATACACTCGAAAACTTATTTGGTTTTGAGATACTTTGCAAAACTATTTGACACGTTTGTGCCCAAAAATGCATTACGTTAAGAAATACATCTCCAATATTTTACTTCCCTGAAATTATTGCGGTAAGAAACGTTAGAAAAAATAGATACGCTTAAATGAAATAATGCTAAAGGAATAATGAAAATGGCAGTTCTAGCAAATAATTAGTAGAATAGTATGTTTTATCCTTACAAAATTTTCAATGAAAATATTTGGAGCCGGTTCTGAAAACATCTTTCTGATGCATTTATGAGAAAGTTTCAGATTTAGATCAAAATTATGCGAAAACTACTTCAATCTTTAAAACAGTGTACATTAAATTATTCTAAGATTTAATATTATGTAGGTTGCATTAAAGAAGAAACCATTAGATTCAATAATGAAGTTATTTGAGAGGCTCAGGGACAGAATGATTGCAGTCTTTCAATGTTACGGAAACAGCTTGTAAACGGCGAGAAAATCACCTGAAGTGGATAAAAAGTTTCATAAATATCCATCAAATTGACGGGTTTCTGAAACGATTCAATTGAAGGTCGGATCTCAAAATTAGTTTCTAGAGGAATGGAAAAGGATGGCAGCGACAAGAAAGCGTGCGTGGCAGAGCCGGGACAGATCGTTGTAGGGATGGCAGGAGGCGCCCAACCGACCGTAGCTGGGAATGGGTGGAGCTGGATATAAATAAATGGCTTGAACCAAGATAAAAATAAATTTAATTCCATTTTACTCCAGAGATAAAATTGATTCTTTTTCCTGTGTAATCGATGATTGTCATTACAACATTCCCCGGCTAAGTCGCGTTGCTTCAGCGACAACAAATATTAGTTAAAAATAATTTATTTAAAATAAAGACATTTCAATTCTTTATTACAACTCTTAATAATAGTATGCATTAATTGATGTATTCGAGATATGAGCGTAATGTTGATGTGTGCATTAGAGAGTTTGACTGTTAACAATTTGAAAAATCCCAAACGTTTGGTAATGCATATAAGAAGGTATCTATTGTATTGAGATTTAGTTTTCAATATGTAAGGATAGAATAATGTGATGCATGAAAAAATTATGCAATGCTGTCATATTAAAATAATTGTGCTTCTTGACATGAATGTTAATTATGGACTAATAATCAATAGAACTAATATATTTTGGCAAATGACTATTTTCATTATGACATAGACACTCAAAATTATCATTTAGGAAAGCATTTTAAGACTTTACGATATTAAGGAAGATCATTTAAATAGTATTTAATGTCTATTTTGACATTGGAGTTCAAAAATGTCTAGTCGTCCAGCGATTTCATATTAATTTGGACAAAAACTTTGAAGAATGTCTTATCAATACTAAAGAGCAAGCTATGCTACTGAACATAAATAATGCGTATCTGAAAATACAGAAAAGTGCAGAAAGAGAGAAAGACAGAAAAAGAAACAAACAAAATATACAAACCCTGATGACGTCAACGTGTCAAATGTCATTCTTTCATGATGTATAGAGCTTGGGATATATTATAAAAAATATTTTCGCTCTCCGATAGTTTTAGAGTCACCTCCTGGTTTCAAGGTAGAATTTTAAACACTTTCCGAAATAATCGAAGTAAAATTCGCTTGCTGTGGGTCAACTGCGAGCCTCATAGTGTTATTGTTTCTACCCAGGAGACGCCGTGATCTACGCAAGGGTGTACAGGTGATTTAAAATTGCCTTCAAATCACTGAAAGCCCGCTACGATTAGTCGTGTATTTTGTTCTTGCTAAATCGTAAATGTATTCCCCCTCAACGAGGAATAAACATCCGCCCCCTGACGGTGCAACGGTAGATGCCCACTGCTAATTTCGTAAGATCGGCGCTTAGGAAAGGAAGCGTTTTCGTAGCAAAAGGGATGTCTTGCGGAAACTGCAAAATTGACCCAATTGGTGATCTCACTACGAGGCATTGCTTGTTTCGTAACTCGGACTGAATAGTCGTATTCTTCGCTTTTAATGTATCGAATGTACCTTCTGCCTAAAATATCGCGAGGCAACAAAATTTCATCATATTTTTGTGGGCATTGAATTTTATCCGCTAATACGGTTTTAACCAGTTACAATAAATTTTCTTTAAAAATTAAAAATTTGGAGCTTTTGAATTTCATTTTCGCAGAAATGGAGTCATCACTGAAGACAAAATCACCACCTTGCAAGTCCGCAAACAACTTTGAATCACTTGTACACGCCTGAATAGCCGACCTTCACAAATATTGCTCTGCGGAAGGTCGCGGCGCGATTATCAAAATCTTGACACCCACGCCCAAGGCGTGGCGTCTCCCGAACAGACAATAGAAATATTCTCCGATTTAAACAGAGTGACACTTAAAAGTTTCTGAAAGGAGACTGAAAGGAGAGGAAAACATTGCCATTCAATCGCAAACTCAAATACAAAAAATTTAAAACGTAACGAAGCGTCTTCCTCTCCGCCCAATACGTGACCTTAACAAGCGACTGTGTTTAAATCGGAGTTAACTGACTCCGGACGTGGAATCTCACGCCTTCCTGTCCCCGCATCTTTTTGCGAACAGGTCGTTTAGTTCTAGAAGTGGCCGTCGGAGGGCGGCTGCGGCGCGGGCGTGAGCCTGCAGGGCACGTACACGGCCTCCTCCTGCTCGCGCAGCCGGCCGAAGGCGTCGGCCTGCGCGTCGAAGGCGCAGAGCGCGGCCGCGGCCTGGGCGTGACGCGCCCCGCCGCGTCGCCCGCGCCGGTCCATGCGCCGCTCCGCGTCCCGCACCTAGGCGTAAAGCGTTTATTGAAATTATCTGCTCTCTGATAAAAAAAATTCTGAAATGTCTTAAAATGATTAGCCTCATATTTTAATATGGTCGAGTATAAAGTATATTGCTTATCCGTATCTACACTACATAGAAAGTATTCAAAATAACATCTACTGCAGATATTGAAAGCTACACGGTTTGTCAGAATTAAACAGATGTATGTTATGTGTGTATGTATGTATGTATGTTATATTGTATGGCTATGTATGTATGTATGTATGTATGTATGATGTATTATGTATGTATGTATGTATGTATGCTATGTATGCTATGTATGCATTATGTATGTATGGTTGTATGTAAGTATGATTAGTCTAGTATGTATGTATGTATGTATATGTTTATGATGTAATGTATGTCATGATTTATGTATGTATGTTATGTATGTATGTATGCTATTATAGTAGATGTATGTATGTAGTATGTATTATGTATGTATGTTGTATGTATGTATGTATTATGTATGTTATGTATGTATGTATTCGGCATTTCTGGGTAATGCCGACTTGTCAACAAGCTCACGGGTGTCAAATGCTGATCGGCTTGGAGAGGATGCAGGGGGGGGGAGCAAGAGTGGTGAACATAACCCCTTCACCGTAACTAGCAAGCAGTTAAGTCTGTCTAAGCTTTTCTTCGCCATACAGCACAGAAACGATTTTAAAGGAAATCTACAATTCCATTTTTGTCACGATTAAACAAATTGAAATATAATTATTCATTGATCCATTAAAAACATTCAACACTAAATTATCTATTCGATTTCGTTCGGAACTACTTTCTTGACCAGATAATGTAATATTCTATCTTTGAAATCCTCTTTTTGAAATCCTTTCTTCCTTTTGAAATCTTTTTGATTATCATCTTTTTGAAATACAATCCAATTTAAAAAAATTGAATCATGCTTGATAGGGTCCAGTTTCTCACTTCCCAACGATATCCGGAAATGATCAGTGATTTTGGCGGATTTGTAATTATGCTGTTATATGTAAAAAAGGGCAATGAAATTAAACTTCATTAATAAAGAAATTTTTCTTAGTGTATGACTGATTAACATATGATGGTACAATGAAAGTGGGAACAAGAGGACCCGAGAAAAAATTGCCGCGAATCCGCTTTATTCACCACAACTTCCACAAGGATCGATCTGCATCGCAACCCTAGTACACAGAGTTGAAAATCGAGCCACTACACCGCTTTCACTCTGTATC